GATGAGGTCTTGCTGCCCAGGCGGGTCTCGAACCTGCAGGCTCAGGCAATCCACTCACCTCAGCCTCTCAAAGGCGTGGGATTACAGGCCGAGCCACTGAGCCCAGCTTACAAAAAATTTTTTAAAAAATGAGCCAGGTGTGGTGGTACACCTCTGTAGTCCCAGCTACTCAGATACAGAGGTGGAAAGATCCCCTGAGCCCAGAGGCCAAGGCTGCCATGAGCCGGGATCATCATAATCATGCCATTGCACTCCAGCCTGGGCGACAGAGTGAGACTCCAGCTCAAAAAAAAAAAAAAAAAGAAAATAAAAAAGAAAGGTATCAAGAAAGTCTCAGGCCAATGGCCTCCTGCTTATTCAGTTGAAGAGACATCTGAGTTGTGCTTGCTGGGTTCTTGTTTCCTCTCCCGATAGAGAGACTCTTCTTTCTATTTGTGCTATTATGTATTTAAGATTCACTCAAGATCTGCCTCTTCCAGGAGGCTCTCCCCACAAATGCATCCCATGAAGTCTGGATATTCTACCTGTCTCTTATTCTGGATTTCAGATCCATACAGTTGGCCTTCATTAGAAATAAACAAGTAAGCCAGGGGACCAGGGTATATAGGATAATCTGGCCCTAAGAAACTACATCCTTCAGATACAAACCAAAAATAATTTTTAAAAGGAGGGGTTGCTCATGAAACCCCAAGTGCTGAGTGCTGGACACAGCCCTTCATGTCCTCTGAGTGCTGGACACGGCCCTTCATATCCTCTGGCACTTGTGCCTCTCTCTACCTCTGAGTTCCTTTCTTTGTGTATTTGATGCCAAGTTATCTGGAGCCTGCATTTGTATTTGTCAGATGATTGCTGTGGACAGTGCCTTTTCTCTGGTTCTGCTGAATACTATTTGAAAACACAGTCGACTCTTGCACATGGTTTCCTGTGTCTGCTTATTGATGTACATCTGTTTCCTTCTGTCTGTCTGTCAGGCCACTTCCCTCATTCCCTTCTGGCATAGCTGCCCATCCACACATGATTTTTCAGATCTGACACCACACTCAAGTCACCAAGTCTTCCTGGTGAGGGAATCTGATTGACTGAGCCTGGCATCTTTATTGGTTCCCCAGAATTAGAGTGACCTGGAGAGTAGTGGCACTTACGGAATTCTGTAGGAATTTTTGTGTAATTCTGTGGGAGAGAGGGAAAAAAACACTCATAAGAACAATCAATACATTCAGCATTTGTACATCCGAAGCACTTTCCTGCATTCCCTCATTTGTTCCTCACAGCCCCCCAACGAGATCGGTGCCATTGTTGTTCCAGTTTTATCAGTCAGGAAACCATAGCACAGGGAGGTGAAACAACCCATTTAGCACCACACATCGGACCCGTGACTGAGTCAGGAAGTGAATTGGAGGGATGGTCCTGGAATCTGTGCTCCTAGTCAGATGTTGCTTGTCTTAAATGGGCATCGGATGCTTCATTTTTGTCTTCTTTTCCCATCTTAGTACCTGTGCATTAGGCATTAAATGCCTGTTGGGTGAATGTTTGCTGAATGGGTGAATGCGTGAGTAGATGAATGAACATGCAGGAAATGCACAGTTTACGGGAAATTGGGGGCAGGAGCTTTCTCCTGCTGCTGTGGTTTCCCTGAGGGCCAACACGCACATGTTCAAAGGACTCTCTTTCCCCATCCCTCTCTTTTTGTTCAGACAAGAGTGAGAATGGTGAGGCCTATCAGAGGAAGAAGGCGGCGCCCACTGGTCTTCCAGAGGGTCTTGCCCCGCCTGTGCCTTCTCGAGGGAACCCGGTGCAGCCCGGCAGCAGCCGCTGGAGAAGGATTGTGCTGCTCATCTTGGCCATCACTGTACACAACGTTCCAGGTAAGGTCCTGCCCTCCGGCGCGCCAGCACTGCCCGAAGGTAGAGTCACTTGTCAGTGCAGTTGTCTGGCTGGAGGAAGACGATGGGCACTCGTGACACGGGTCCTGTTTCTGGGCAGGGAAGGCAGGAGTACACATCTTTTTGGACTTTATTTTTGGGGTTGCTCATCATAGATTGGTCATGATATGTGAGAACTTCCCATTCCAGTTACTTTAAACATCTTCTCATGTCTGGTAAAGGTAGTTTCATTCTTTACATATTTGATACCAAGTTTTTTGGAGCATACTTTCACAACTATGACTTGATGGCTGTGGAGGGTGCCTTTTACAAATACAGCATATTTCTGGTCTGCTTAATGCCGCTTAAAAATACAGCTGAGTTGACTCTTTTTTTTTGAATCGGAATCTCACTCCGTCACCCAGGCTGCAGTGCAGTGGCATGCACACTCACGGCCACCCCAGCGCCGACCTTCTGGGCTCCGCAATTCTTCTGCCTCCGCCTTCCAAGTAGCCGGAATTATAGGTGCACACTGCCACGCCTGGCTAACGTTTTGATTTATTGTGGAGACGAGGTCTTGCCAAGTTGCCCAGTCTGGTCTCGAACCCATAGGCTCAGGCAGTCCACTCGCCTCAGCCTCCCAAAGTGCTGGGATGACAGGCTGAGCCACTGAGCCTAACGGAGTTGACTCTTGAACAACATGGGTCTCAACTCTGCTGGTCCAATTAGACCTGGATTTTCTTCGGCCTCTGCCACCCCTGAGACACTAAGACCAACCCTTCTCCCTTCTGAGCCTATTCAACATGGAGATGACAAGGATGAAGACCTTTATGATGGCCCACTTCCACTTAATAAATAGCAAATCTATTTCCTCTTCTTTATGATTTTTCTCATAACATTTTCTTTTCTTGTGCTAACTTTATTGCAAGAGTGGAATATATAATATATATACAAAATATGCATTACGAGTCTATATTATCAATAAGGCTTCTGGCCAACAGTAGGCTATGAGTAGTTAAGTGTTTGGAGAGTCAAAAATTATATGTGGATTTGTGACTGCACAGGGGGTTGGTGTCACCAATCCCCATATTCTTCAAGGGTCAACCGTATTGAATGCAGTGTATTTTGGCACTGACATGCTTTCTTTATGTGGGTGTCTTTGTGAAATATTCTTATCAATTCTTTTTCTGTTTAGCATTTTGGAATAATTTGCTTTATATTTTTGGATTTATTTTAAATGAAAAAGAAAGACTTATTGATGTTTTATTTCAAAAATGATGTATATTTCTTTTAGAGCAATTAGAAGACATGCATAAAGATAAAAATAATAAAGATATTATCAAATAAATAAATTAAGGGAACCTGAGCTTTGTGGGATACATTTTGAAATTCCAGTACTGCCAACTTACCAATGAGTTTATCTTTGACAAGTTGCTTTAACTCCTCGAACCGTGGTTTTCCCATCTACATGGGGAACCCCCCCAAAACCCGGAGTTATCTTTTGGAGGGTGGTCCCCTCGAAGCATACTGGGAATTAGTTCTCCTGGATCAAACGGTCAACCAAAGTTTTCATCTGGAAGTTTTTAGAAGGCTGTGTCATGATTTGTGGAAGAAACGTCCAGAGTTGTGGCAAATAGGTGACTGGTTCTTCCACCACATTGTGTGTTCAGCAATTTTTGATCACATGCCTCACCCTCTCTATTCACCTGATTTCATGTCAAGTGACTTTTTTTTGTTTCCTCAGACGAAACAAGCCCTCAAAAGGAAACGCTGATATGGGAGAGGTAAAACAAAAAAGTTAGAAGCCCTAAAAAGTGTCCAAATCGACAAGTTCAAAAACTGTTTTGAGCAGTGGAAAAAGCAGCTTGATAGGTGCCTTGTATATTTGTAAATACACAAATTTTTTATAAATAAATTCCGGGTTTTTGGGGGCCGCCCCTAGTGTGAAATGAGGATAATGTCACATTTGATTATTTTGATAATTAAGTGAGATGTTAAATACACATATAACTTTCAGTGCAGTGCTTGGGCCTTATGAGAATTTTTTAAATGGAAGCCATTGTTAGCATTGACATTCCCGCTGCCTTTTCAGCAGTGATTTCCTCAATCTTGAGTTCTTAAACATTTGGATCCATCTTTTGTTACCTGGGAACTTGAGTTTGAGCAGTTATCTTTCCGAGGGAGTGTCCCTGGGTGCTGTATTTTCAGAGTCCTTACAGAGTCAATAATGCCAATCTGCTACCCCATTATAGGAGCAACCACTTGGTTGGGCAAAGCTTTCTAGTCACGACATTTTTCTTTTCAAAGCTCTTACAGATGATGCTCCATTGTCTCTGGCTTTTGTATTGTGGAAGCAAAGAGCATGACCAAACTGAGTTTATTCCTCTGTGTCTTTTGATATTTTTTTGCCTACAGCATGAAAACTTGTTTTGTCATCTTTAAAGAGTGAAAATTCTAATGTGTTACTTATTCTAGTATCCATTAAATCTGTCTAAAGCACTATGTGTCTAATCACTTTTTAAGCTGATATTTCTCTGGATAAAAAGAGTATTCATTTCTCTATTATTCCTATCCCAATCTTAGGCATTTCTATCATGTGATCACGTGTAGGCTGGCTTTCCTGAAGTTTTCATCAGCATCTGTTTCTTTCTCATTTCCCTTTGAGTTACGAGTAAACTCTGGTTGGTTTTCTAGAGCTTGCTATTCAAGTATGTCTTGAGTTGAAGTCTTATGTGGGACCCCAGTGCACAAAGGTGACCAAGGTGAAAGGATCTGGTCGTGCTCACCCCAATATATTAAAGAGCTCATTGGAAGACTCCCTCAGTCCTCTGCAGAGGACAATTTGAGAGCCTCAACAATCACAATTAGCCTGTTAAATGCTAATTGTTAAGCCAAAAGAGGTTACTTTCACTGTGTCTTCATCATAATGGTAGCTGTCTTTTTTTTTTTTTTTTGAGTTGGAGTCTCACTCTATCGCCCAGACTGGAGTGCAGTGACTGCTCCCGGCCACCGCAGACTCGACCTGCTGGGCTCCGGCGATCCTTCCGCCTCAGCCTTCCGAGTAGCCGGAATTACAAGCAGGCGCTACCACGCCCGGCTAATTTTTTGATTTATCGTAGAGATGAGGTCTTGCTGCCCAGGCGGGTCTCGAACCCGCGGGCTCAGGCAATCCACTCATCTCAGCCTCCCTTCTGCCATTCAAGACCTTTTCTTTAACAAATTGAGCAGGAATAAAGATCTGTCCACTGGATGTAGCATCAAATAAGAGAACTACACTGACTTGAGGCCACTACAATGAATATCTATTTCCCTGAAGAACAAAAAAGTGGTCTGGCATCCAGATTTGATAGCAGTGGGTGGCACTGAGTACCCAACTGTCCCATAATGGCCCTTTTCCCACACCACACCTGCCACAACACTTCTGTGTCCCAGCATGCTCACCTAGAGTCATTTCCCGGCTCATTTTGTCAGAAGGCCAGGGAGCACGAATCTACTTTCTCGAACATTGGTCGCCGCCCGTGAGAACTTGGAATGAAGCCAGAAACAATTAGTAGGAAGCTGACAGCCACATTTTATGATCCCGAATCAGCATTGATTCAAATCTGACTTCCTCCCTGACAAGAGACCCTCTTCTAGGTCTTTGGCATGTCCAAGCCCAAGTTCGGCCTTTGTCTCTTTCATGGTGATGTGGAAGTGTCTTTTGAAATGAGGATCTGGAGGCTCACAGGACTCTCAGCTGAGTTAGGCTTCATCAGGGATGTGGTGCTAATAGTCACTGGTTCAGTAAACTGGAGGACCACTGGCTTGCCTGGATCAGGAGGTTTGAAGGGAAATTTCTTTCTCAGCCTTGCCTTTTATTGATGACACTTAATGCTGTATTCTAGGCACATGAGTTAAATCAATCTAAAACACACCAAGATCTCTGTCCTTCTATAACGAACATAACAATAAAAATTGAATTATCTATTGTGTTAGGAGGTGATGAATGCTATAAAACAAGAAGTTCAGACCAAATGTTCCTTAATCATCTGGCCCCCTCTCTAATCTTGAGGAGGTAGATTCAACCTTTTTCTCTGATCTACTTTCTAGATAAACTTTCTTTTCTCATCTTAAAAAAAAAATAAAAAGTTCAATAGAGCAGAGGCAAGCCTAGGGTGTTCTGGGAACAGTGGGTATTCTGGGCAAGATGAACAGCCAGTGCAAAGGCCCCAGTGCAAAGGCCGGAATGAGGAACGTGCCTAGCACCTGTGAGGAGTAGTCAGGTGTCCGGTGTGGCTGCAGCAGGGTAAGCAGGAGGGAGAAGAGGGAGGACAGGGAAGTCAGACTGCCTTTAGTTAGACTTGGAGGCGGTGTAAAAATTTTTACTTTCTGCTCTATGGGTGATGGTTCCCTGCAGGATTTTGAACAGGGAACACAGGGCTCAACTTGAGCATTGAAAGGTTCTCTCTAGGCGCCAGATTGAGATGGATCTTAGGAGGGGGAGGGATGGAAGCAGGGAGGGCTTGTATGGAGGCCACTGCAGAGTCCAGGCCAAAGACAATGGTGGCTCCCAGACCAGATTGGCAACACCTGGTGTGGTAAGAAGGGGTCCCGCCCTGGGTTCCTAGTGAAGGTGAAGCCAACAGGATCTGCTGATGGGTGTGGGGTGAGAGAGAAAGGTAAGAGCCAAGAGGGGAGGGACCCAGAGGCTTCAGGGCTGCCCAGCTGCAAGGATGAGCTGTCGTCAACTGAGATGAGGAGGGCCGTGGCTGGAGCAGGTCTAGAGGGCGTCTCAGGAATTCCATTTTGGATCGTGAGTGTTGGCTGCCCCCGTGAGACACTCCAGTGGAAATGCCGACTAGACGGCTGGATACATGAGTTTGGAGTTGGAGCACGGAGTCTGGCTAGAGGTATACGTTTGCGAATTGTTGGCACACAAATGTTTGTTTGTTTTTTTAAGAGACACAGTCTGGCTCTGTCACCCAGGCTGGAGTGCAGTAGCACAATCACGGCTCATGGCAGCCATGAACTTCAGGGCTCAAGTGATCCTCCTGCCTCAGCTTCCCAAGCAACTGGGACTGCCGGTGTGTGCCACCACACCTGGCAAATTTTTTAATTTTATGTAGGAATATGGTCTTGTTATGTTGCCCAGGCCGGTCTCAAATTACCAGCCTCAAGGCATCCTTTTCACCTCAGCCCCCCAAAGTGCTGGGACTGCAGGTGTGAGCCACCACGTTCAGCCAATGTGAATGTCACTTCAACCCATGACACTGCATGAAGCCTTCAGGGGTCTAAATAGCGACATGTGTCTCCAAAGACCCCACTGGAGTTCTTTCTTCGAGCCTCTGGCTCCCACTCCAGTCTAAAGAGAAATTAACTCACAGTCACTGGTAAGCAGCTCCGTGCCCTTTGAGGAGAACC